ATTTAACCAAAAATATAAATTAGAATTATAAAAATAAAATAATTGAATGAAAGCACGTACATATACATACTCTTGTACAGTATCTTGAGATAATGAAATGTTATAATTTGTCAAAATACTTTTTTTTTTCTTTTTTTTTTTTTTTTAGTAACAATTGTGATAACCATTATTTTCTTTTATACATTAAAGAACTTTTTGTCTGATAAATTTACGCAATATAAATAGATGGATTTTAAAAATAAAAAATAAAGAAAATAAATGTGTAAATATAACATGCTACCTAGATATTAATTTATAAATATAAATATTTTTTAATCGTGTTAATAATAATTTCACACTGTACATAAACACGCTTTGCTTGTAGAATGTTTTATTTACATCGAATGACAAAGTGGCATGCTGATCGGCCGACGCGCTGATTGGTTAACACGTCTTATCGCTAATCCTGATTGACAGATCAGTTACGCAACACCGAACGCGCGTTCGCTTGCTGGGTTCGCTACTGAATTTGGGGTTCGCTTTCGGCGTTCGCTCTGGGTCCGCTGCGGGTTCGCTCGGGGTGCGCTCCGGGTTCGCTCGGGGTCCGCTATAGCGAACCCCAAGTGAACCCGAAGCGAACCCAGGCAGCGAACCCGGGATGCGCTTTGGGTTCGCTTTCTGTTAGGTTGTGTCTGGTCGGTACTGTATTGTGATTTTAACCCCCCCCCCTTCACCCGGCCTTTTCTCTTAAAAATCATGAAAATCTTTCAGAAAGGCCTTCAAACACATTTGTCATAGGACTATCTTTATTAAAAATAACAGACTATAATAATTTCCTGTTTACCGCCAATTTTATTTATAAAACCGGTTCTACCCTGTAAACTTTGAATTGGTCAACCTACACCACGTGTCTTAAATTTAAATCACAATAACATTAGTAGGGGTGACAATGTATAATCAAGCATTTAGTGAACTGTTTTCATAGTCTGTTTTCAATCTGAGTTAGCATATATGATTCCACAGCCAAACTCCACTTAATTAATGAAGTATTCTATATGTTTATTACCTTTAATATTAAATAGTATATGATTCTTGTAAGTTAAATATTTCCACTCGATATTATCTGTTGAAATATACATTTTTATTTAGAAAAATGTGGATGATCCTTGGTTGAGAATAATTAATCAGTTAACAAAAGTAACTCAATGCTTCTGATTCAAGAAATCTCTGAAAGTGAATTATAAAGAATGAATTATGCTTAAATTTCATCTTAGACTGTATTTTGTTCTCTTGATTAGTATCATCTTCGTCTGTACATAAAAACATTAATTTAAAAAATATAATTGCCCTAAATTCATTTGCTTACAAAATATGCTTCATGTCCATTAAATTGTATTGTATATCTGTTCTTGAATGCCTTTAATCCGTATGCTTACATCATTAATAGTATTGCGACATGGTCGGTCAGGAAAGAACCAATTAAAAAACAACCCTTCATAATTATTTTGAAAAACAAATATTTGAATTTTAAATAATTTATAAATCATAAAGATGAAGATAACGAACAGTGATTAATCTCAGAATCTAAAAACGATACAAATCTGTGAAGATTATTCTAAAAATAACCCGGATTGGTTTTAAGTGGAGACTTGATTTGCCCCCCCCCCCCCCCCCCTTGTCGGATTCTTCCTCTTTTATTCATTATCGTTTGTATCATAAGCATAAATAATATTCGATACATATACTATACATGTATTTTCTTGAAAAGAAAATTTTGTGGTGTTTTATTTATTGTATTATTACCAAAAACTAAATAAAAAATCGAGGTAAATTCAAACTTATTTCTTTTCATAATTAACCTAATTAAATTAGTTTAGGATCAGCATTACATGCATGCTTGCATGCATGGATAATACTGTAAAATGAACATTAATTACAGAGACAGATTCATGTGCTGCACTCTACTTTATGCACACTATTTAGGTTGATTGGTAATTCAGTATTTATGAGGATTGAAATTGAAATATATATGAATATATTTAAAAGATTTATGATAAAGAAACAGTTCTCAATTGACCATCAGTATGTACGATAAACGAGCACATATGTAGAATACGTGTGAATACTTAAGTTAACAACACTGCTTGAGGCGAAATACAATGCTTCAAAGTGTTTCCCCTTCCCTTTTTATTGAATAAAAAAATAGATCTTGCTATCTTACAAACAACAGAGGAGGAATGGTCAGTTACACAGAAGGAAAGCAGTAACAAGGGTGAAAAATCCCAACTATATACATGTATATTGGTATAATCCTTTTCTGTAAACGAGTTTTATGCTGTTACTGAATCAATCATAAACATAAAATATACTGCTAAAGGAATAAAACTAACTCAGAAGAATTTCTTTAGTAAAGAAGAGGGAAAATTATGAACAGAAATTGCTGCATTAAAAAACAGTACACAATCTACACAAGGAGAATTAATTGCATGTTTGATTTCTACCAAAAGTTGGTAAAAGAAAGCAACATCTAGCAAATAATGAAGCATACAAGAGAGAAAACAAGTATGTTTAATTGAAACCATAAAGACCAGAATAAAAGTGTGCATTTTACAAAATCAGCTTTGATGAGTACTCGTACTATTCAGTACTAGATGTAAGAAAAAATTCAAGAAATAAAAATTAAAAATACTACATACAAAAATGATGTAATTCGGTTTAGAAAAGAAATAGCAAAATATGAATTTTTTGATAAATAGAACACGAAACATTTAAATATTGCTGAGACTGAACCTAACGAATGAATTTAAAGAAAATTGAATTCGACTGGACGTATGGGACGATATATGAATCAAAAACTTGAATTCTTTGGAAAGTATTTTCTGTTTCTTTTTCTTTTTTTCTTTTTCTTTTTTAGATCGACCACTGTTCGTTATATTCACATTTTTCATTGGGGAAAAAACAGGGACACTTAAAAAAAATCTTTGAAGACCGTTGTTTATTCTATTTTTCAACTTTTATTCATATATACATTGCATTAATAAGATGTTCTAAACAAACGGGGATATATTTCAAACTTCTATCTTTGCATTCTGAAAATTGCATTTTCTAAAGAAGGAGAAAGGTAATTTTGAAGTAAAAATATTAAAAAAAATCCTCGTCTGACTTTTGATGAATGAATTAGGTCTTTGAATATTATGTCAAATGAATAGTTAATAATCTAAATACACAGTACAGACATCATTTATAAATACTCTAAACCAATTACGGTCACTGAAGTGTAAAAACAAATGCAGAAATTGGTGTTCTGTTTTGTTTTGAGACGTACCAATAGATAATAAGTGTATAAATCTTCTTGGATAAACTTGATATCTAGACTCCTATATCTTTTTTTCAAAATATATATTTAATTACATCCGATCATAGTGTTAAGGAACCTCAGTGAGATTAGAAATACAGGGATCTTAAATGCAATTTAGCTTTTACAGAAACAAAAAGATATATTTCACCAATTAGAGTAAAAGATAAAATCCATATATTTAGATCGGCATCGTTGGCAAAATTGGTCGAAGGACATTAGGACTTCTGACACAGGTACAACCAGCTACAACCTTCTCTAGTTTGTTTTCATATGTATATCTTCTATTTATCATGTCGCATCCTGTACGTCTCAAGACGTGCACATAAAAATAGATAGGCTGGCATCGAGTACATCCGGGTCCGTTGTTCAAATCACTGCAAGTGCTTTCACTTCTCCTACAGTATGAAAAAAAATGAGATTCCTGGTTTTAAAACTGCTAACAGGAAGTTAAATTCAAAGAAACAAAATAACAATAAATATCACTCAAAGACAGAAAGACAAGAAACATTTTATGCCTTCCTCGGTAACCAGTGACAAAATAATTTTTCAGTATTAAAATACATTTTTTTTTTTTTTTTTGTGAAATATACAATAAAATTTCCTGTTGACAAAGTAGCATCCCTACCACTGCTGTACTGTACTCGGCAGTTTAAAAAGATATTCAGATGTAATGATCAAAAAACATTTTGGAGAAATATAAACCATTTCATGGGGAAAAAAAATAGTCTCTGATCTGACAGAAACTTAAATATTCAATGGAAAAATAGATCGCAAAGTTCTAATATAGAAAAAAAATAAGGAGTAAAAACCAAAGAAAAAATACCGATTTTTGATCAATTGAAAAAAAAAAACTTAAATAATTAAAAACCTTTTGGAAATATTTCTGACGTAATCTGCAATAATTATAAATTACAATTTCCTTCGATACAGCTTACTGGTAGCTAAAACACTTTCTTTAAACCGGAAAGTTTATGATATTACCCGCACCGTTTTTTTTAGATTAAATCCCTCTCTATGATCAGACTTCCCCTTCATGGTGAATGGTGGAATTGTAACTTTCCCTTTAAAAATTTAGTATATATAAGACGTCGGAATAATCTTTAATAGATATTCACCAACACTCAAAGAGGCAATAATGTATACTCTTCAGGTAGAATTTAAGCATTGTCTTTACATAATAAACACGTTTTCCTGTCATAAAATTGAGCAAAACTTCAGACAGGCTAAGCCCTGCTACTTGATTGTTTCCTTCTGCTTGAGGGTGTTAGTCAATTATTCTGATCCTTGACAATTTTTAAAACATTTTATGTTGCAATTAGCTTTGATATTAATTTGATACATGCTACAGAAATGTGAAGTTTGAATTGTGGTCTTTAGATTTTACCATTTAAATTCTATCGGCATTTGATTTTTTTGATATTCGAACATATCAAAATTTACATAATAGCCTGTATCTATATCGATATAATTGATATTTCAAAAACATTTACACAATTTTGAAAATTTCTGAATCGACGACTAGGGATGTTTAGTACAATCTTACGCAAGGCAGCTCAAAGTAACTATTTCACTGAAAGAAATGCACTAATTACATTCATTGAGGTTCTACAAATCGACGGCACTCTGTTTAGAGAGGTTTTTCTTTCAAACATTTTGATAAGAAATGAATGTCCTTACCTACTACTTTAAATCACCAATAAAGATGGTAGTATTTAGAATGCAGTATGCAGAAAAAAATTTATAAACCTTCTTTTACCTTCAATATTCTTTTTCTTTCAAATCTTTTAGATTTTGACATTTCTCATCGTTACATCTTACATACGAAGTCATCCAACAGTATGCAGAGAGCCATCCACACTTCCCACCCTGACCAATGACCTACTAACTCAATCGGTAGCCATTTTGCCAGGAGAAGAAGGGATGATTTTGAGGGGACTGAACAGCGTCGAAGATTCTTTTATCGACATAACCCGCCAAAACATTTCCAACCATAGAAATACTGGACCACAAGCTTGTTCAGTACAGTCTACATGTCAGTGGCATTTCGTTAAGAATATCGATCCTAACAGAAAGCCAAAAACCATTATTGAAGTCCAGTGTAGCCATTCATGCTGTAGGAGAAGTGAAAGCACTTGCTGTGATTTGAACAACGGACCCGGATGTACTCGATGCCAGCCTATCTATTTTTATGTGCACGTCTTGAGACGTACAGGATGCGACATGATAAATAGAAGATATACATATGAAAACAAACTAGAGAAGGCTGTAGCTGGTTGTACCTGTGTCAGAAGTCCTAATGTCCCTCGACCAATTTTGCCAACGATGCCGATCTAAATATATGGATTTTATCTTTTACTCTAATTGGTGAAATATATCTTTTTGTTTCTGTAAAAGCTAAATTGCATTTAAGATCCCTGTATTTCTAATCTCACTGAGGTTCCTTAACACTATGATCGGATGTAATTAAATATATATTTTGAAAAAAAGATATAGGAGTCTAGATATCAAGTTTATCCAAGAAGATTTATACACTTATTATCTATTGGTACGTCTCAAAACAAAACAGAACACCAATTTCTGCATTTGTTTTTACACTTCAGTGACCGTAATTGGTTTAGAGTATTTATAAATGATGTCTGTACTGTGTATTTAGATTATTAACTATTCATTTGACATAATATTCAAAGACCTAATTCATTCATCAAAAGTCAGACGAGGATTTTTTTTAATATTTTTACTTCAAAATTACCTTTCTCCTTCTTTAGAAAATGCAATTTTCAGAATGCAAAGATAGAAGTTTGAAATATATCCCCGTTTGTTTAGAACATCTTATTAATGCAATGTATATAAAAATAAAAGTTGAAAAATAGAATAAACAACGGTCTTCAAAGATTTTTTTTAAGTGTCCCTGTTTTTTCCCCAATGAAAAATGTGAATATAACGAACAGTGGTCGATCTAAAAAAGAAAAAGAAAAAAAGAAAAAGAAACAGAAAATACTTTCCAAAGAATTCAAGTTTTTGATTCATATATCGTCCCATACGTCCAGTCGAATTCAATTTTCTTTAAATTCATTCGTTAGGTTCAGTCTCAGCAATATTTAAATGTTTCGTGTTCTATTTATCAAAAAATTCATATTTTGCTATTTCTTTTCTAAACCGAATTACATCATTTTTGTATGTAGTATTTTTAATTTTTATTTCTTGAATTTTTTCTTACATCTAGTACTGAATAGTACGAGTACTCATCAAAGCTGATTTTGTAAAATGCACACTTTTATTCTGGTCTTTATGGTTTCAATTAAACATACTTGTTTTCTCTCTTGTATGCTTCATTATTTGCTAGATGTTGCTTTCTTTTACCAACTTTTGGTAGAAATCAAACATGCAATTAATTCTCCTTGTGTAGATTGTGTACTGTTTTTTAATGCAGCAATTTCTGTTCATAATTTTCCCTCTTCTTTACTAAAGAAATTCTTCTGAGTTAGTTTTATTCCTTTAGCAGTATATTTTATGTTTATGATTGATTCAGTAACAGCATAAAACTCGTTTACAGAAAAGGATTATACCAATATACATGTATATAGTTGGGATTTTTCACCCTTGTTACTGCTTTCCTTCTGTGTAACTGACCATTCCTCCTCTGTTGTTTGTAAGATAGCAAGATCTATTTTTTTATTCAATAAAAAGGGAAGGGGAAACACTTTGAAGCATTGTATTTCGCCTCAAGCAGTGTTGTTAACTTAAGTATTCACACGTATTCTACATATGTGCTCGTTTATCGTACATACTGATGGTCAATTGAGAACTGTTTCTTTATCATAAATCTTTTAAATATATTCATATATATTTCAATTTCAATCCTCATAAATACTGAATTACCAATCAACCTAAATAGTGTGCATAAAGTAGAGTGCAGCACATGAATCTGTCTCTGTAATTAATGTTCATTTTACAGTATTATCCATGCATGCAAGCATGCATGTAATGCTGATCCTAAACTAATTTAATTAGGTTAATTATGAAAAGAAATAAGTTTGAATTTACCTCGATTTTTTATTTAGTTTTTGGTAATAATACAATAAATAAAACACCACAAAATTTTCTTTTCAAGAAAATACATGTATAGTATATGTATCGAATATTATTTATGCTTATGATACAAACGATAATGAATAAAAGAGGAAGAATCCGACAAGGGGGGGGGGGGGCAAATCAAGTCTCCACTTAAAACCAATCCGGGTTATTTTTAGAATAATCTTCACAGATTTGTATTGTTTTTAGATTCTGAGATTAATCACTGTTCGTTATCTTCATCTTTATGATTTATAAATTATTTAAAATTCAAATATTTGTTTTTCAAAATAATTATGAAGGGTTGTTTTTTAATTGGTTCTTTCCTGACCGACCATGTCGCAATACTATTAATGATGTAAGCATACGGATTAAAGGCATTCAAGAACAGATATACAATACAATTTAATGGACATGAAGCATATTTTGTAAGCAAATGAATTTAGGGCAATTATATTTTTTAAATTAATGTTTTTATGTACAGACGAAGATGACACTAATTAAGAGAACAAAATACAGTCTAAGATGAAATTTAAGCATAATTCATTCTTTATAATTCACTTTCAGAGATTTCTTGAATCAGAAGCATTGAGTTAATTTTGTTAATTGATTAATTATTCTCAACCAAGGATAATCCACATTTTTCTAAATAAAAATGTATATTTCAACAGATAATATCGAGTGGAAATATTTAACTTGCAAGAATCATATACTATTTAATATTAAAGGTAATAAACATATAGTATACTTCATTAATTAAGTGGAGTTTGGCTGTGGAATCATATATGCTAACTCAGATTGAAAACAGACTATGAAAACAGTTCACTAAATGCTTGATTATACATTGTCACCCCTACTAATGTTATTGTGATTTAAATTCAAGACACGTGGTTTAGGTTGACCAATTCAAAGTTTACAGGGTAGAACCGGTTTTATAAATAAAATTAGCGGTAAAAAGTAAAATTATTATAATGCTGTCCGGATTTTTTTTTTTTTTTTTTTTTTTTTTAAAAAAGATAGTCCAAAGACTAATGTGTTTGAAAGCCTTTCTGAAAGATTATCATGATTTTTAAGAGAAAAAGCCGAGCGAAGACGGGGGGGGGGGGGGGGGGGGGGCTAAAGTCACAATATATTTAATCCGCTTTAGTGATTATTTTCGGCGAAAATTGGAAATTGGAGCTCAGTAGTAAAATTTTATCAAAATCGCCCAACACGCTGGTAGAAAAAAGTGTAATATCTTCTTCAGCAGTTCTACATTGACAAACCTTTGTTTTATTTATATGGCTATTGTTATTAATGCACACAGAGGGAGGATCTTACCACGAACAACGGACCAATCGTTGAATGAATAGCAACGTTTACTGGACAACTACATGTTTACTTTTTCTTCAAGCATATGGTTCAGGCCAATCTATGATCGATATTAAATGAACTGCAAAAACCAATTCGAAAAAAAACTGTTTTCATGAAAAATTACAATGATTAAGAACAATGAAAGATGTCACGGATGTTTGCAATTTGTTGTTACAAAATAAAATGTATACATGTATATAATAAAATGTAGTCTGTGCCACGTTCAGAACACCAGTACTTCAAGGTTAAGGAAAACGAGCAGCATTTCTTAGGCATTTAACAGTTAAATGGCCAACAAAGTTTTGTTTGTTTGTTGTTGTTTTTTCACACTATAATACCCGTGATCACAGGTGCTTTGGCCAGGGAACCCATCTGATAATAGGTAATATTTACAAAACGGTCATTATTAAATGCTGACCATAAATATGATTTTTGAAAGCCTGTAATATCAACTTGTTTGTCAGTAGCATTTCTTGGTTTAAAGATTTATTTTCAATACCTCTATCATCTGCGTGCCAAATCAATGGAAGAAATGAACAGCATACATTTCATACTGTACACTAACTATAAATAAGGACAATTTCTATTCGCGATTCGCCAGTTTAAGATCTATCCGAGACAAGTTTTTGCAAACGATCAGCCATTTAAAAAAAAAATTACGTGATAAAGAAATTAGTGCGCGGCGATAAATATTTGCGAGTAAAAGAAGCACGTAAAATCTCGCACGCAGATAAAAATTGGTTTGCGTGTATTGAAATATTACTGTTTAAAAAGGAGGAGTTAACGATGGAAAAGCGGAAGTTATCACGTTTGTCATATAATAACATGCTTATAGAAAAATACCAGGACGGACAATTTAGCTTCGTTCTAAACTTAATTTGTTATATCCCTTTAAGTTCACAATAATGTTTTAACGATTTGGAATGAAAACTACTTCGTAATAAGCGTATATTCATGCTAAGCATGTTTAATATAAACGTGTTTTACTGTAGTTTAGTTGCTGGTTCGTCATAAACTCTATAGTAAGTTAAAACAGATGTTATAGATTTATAGTGTCCTTTATTTCAAGCTCAATGAGATATACATGAAATATATGGAGATAACGAACAGCATTCAAGCTCAAAAGTCCATTAAACAATACAAAATAGGAGCAGAGCAAACACGGACCTCTAAAACATCAGAGGGGGATCAGGTGCCATGGAAGAGTGAGCAACCCCTGCCGACCGGTCACACCCGCCGTGTGCTCCTTGTCATAATCGGGAAATAACGGGAAAATCCGTCGACAATTCAGTGTGTAAAAAATTGCCTAACAATTAGTATGAAAAACATAGAATTTTTAAAAATTAATTCTGCTTCATAATTATAAAAATTTTAAAGCAATATAAAATACCACAAAATGAATTAATTCGCGATATTAAACTGTTCAAATGTATTTAACTGCATCAAAAGTATTTATATAATAGTGTTATTATTTGGATGTACTATGCCGAAATAGTAGTCAGGGTTTGACACATGGTGCACGAGCCGGAGGCGAGTGCACTATGTGTCAAACCCTGACTACTATTTCGGCATAGTACATCCAAATAATAACACTATTATAATTATTTTGCTGACTGTTGTTTGTATACGACAATTTAATTAAATTCTCAATCCCAAACCTGTTTGCAGACGTTAAATCTAAATGAAAATTTTCTTGAACATTCTTTAATCAAGCGTTATATCAAAAAGCGTTTTATTGACTCCGAAGAACCAGTTCATGTTACGTTGCAATTTTGGTTACTGATAAATTCGTTTATTTGCTAGAGAATTTTTCTTTAAGATCCTTATCAATAATATCAGTCTTTTAGAAATTATATTCATTTATTTCTTGTTTTGTGACAAATGTATAAAAACTACGTTTATATACTTGA